TCTTTGGCATTTTATTAGCTACTCGCATGCAGATGATCGAATGTTTATTTTTTATTTATATAATTTGGTATTTTATTTACGGGAAGTCAAAAAATTAATAGTTCGTCACAATACCCCCCTTCGTCACAATACCCTCATTTACCTTAGTATACATATATAACTGATGTTAGCACCACAGATATGATTTAGTATATTGTTTAAAAAAAATCTTTTTTTTTAAAAAAAAAATCTATAATTTTTTTTAAAAAAAAGTTTTTTTTTTAAAAAAAAAAAATACTCACAAATAGATTACTACTTATTTTATATAGTCTTAATTTGCTTTACAGAAACTTAAATATCTTTTTCATCCATTTCAACAATTATGATATAGTTGTTAGATATAAGCAATTTGAACATGCTTCACTTAGAAAAAGTTAGTTGCATTTCTTTTTCATGTTTGCTAATTTATATTATAATTAGATGTAATTGCAATTGAGATTCTAGCTTCAATTGTGTTATTAGTTGTTTTTTTCTATATATGCTATTTTGCTAATATATTCTTGTATGATACTTTATAATAGAAGTATTTATGATTCACAAATTTCTAATATTTGTAAAAAATACTATTTTACAGTAGCAGTAGTTTTAATAGTAGTAGTTTCAAAGGCAGTAGTTTGGACAGTAGTAGTTTCAAGAATAGCAATTTAGGTAATAGTAGTTTTAAGAGCAGCAATTTTGGCAGTGATAGTTTCAAGAGTAGTAGTTTGGGTAGTGGTAGTTTTAATAGCAACAGTTTGGGCAATGATATCAGAGATAGCAGCTTTGGTAATAGTATTAGAAGTAGTCTTAAAATAGATTTTGTAGTGGTAGATTTTGTAGTAGATTCTGTAATAGCAGATTTTGTAAAAATATTGTTATCTCTAAAAGCACCTGTTTAAAAATACACAACTTTACAAAAACTAGCACTTTTTTTTTGATGAATTTATGATAATATTAAAGTTATTAATATGATATTTTCCATAATGAAAAGATTATTTTATTAGA